CGTTGACAATTCCCTGGAACCAGGCTCGTGTCCCCTCCCGAGCTGCCAGTACCAGCCAGGAGGGACACGGATCTAATAAACATGTGGTTGCATTCAGCCTCCCCAGGACCCTGTCCACATCTTCAGGAGCAACAGAGTCAAACTCCTCCCATACAACCGTCTCAAGACCTGCTCCCGTCTCCTCCCCCTGGGCCAACCATGTAAAGAATACAATGCAATAATCATTCTTTAAAATGGTAAAAGGAATATACTGAACATAGTACCAAACTTTTTAAAAATGCTGTTTAATACCCAATAGTGTTTGAAATTTATTATTTTTAAATTAATTTTTAAATAAAAACAAAGTAAATGGTAATTTTGAAGACTGGTAAAGACTGGATGTTATTTATTTATTTGTCTGTTTGTTTGTTTATTAAACTTATATGCCCTCCAGTTAGCCCAGAGGTGATTCTAGGAGGCTTAGAATCAATAAAAGTATTGCCCCATTTCTTTATTAAATGTTGATTTAAAAAATTCAAAAATTATCATGGCATTTTTGTTCAGATAATACTAGGGCTTATCCTGTTCATGAATCAAAATAGTTTTGAACAATTCATAAAAACTTGATCTGACAATAGAAATGCCTTGATTTACTACAATGAAACTTTCTGAAAGAAGTTTAGGCCAAATCTGGGTTTTGTTCATTTTTAAATACTTTGATTAAAATGTGATTCTTTAACCCTTAGGCCAAGATTATTTAAAAGGGATTATTTATTCACCCACCTGCATGCCTTATGGAAATTATCAGATATATCTTTTATCTTCTCCAATATTTACAGGTAATTCTCATTTAACAACCACAATTGAAACCTGCAAGTTGGTTGTTAAGTGAAATGGCCACCAATGAAACTGTGACTTTGCTTATGATCTTATTTTATCTTTGCTTTGCTTTACAGGTCCTAAATTAAAGGATCAGTCATAAAGTTACTTTTTCATCACCCTCATAATTGGGAACAGTTGCTAAACAAGGGAGTCACTGAACAAGGGTTACCTGTACTTTAATTTAATAGTAGCGCAATTGGCCTGTTTTGTAAAGTTTAGAAATGTAGTCTAAATGAAGCTGAACACAAAACTATTATTATGTTTTGTGAAAATTATGACTATTATACAACACAATGTATAGAGATAGCACAACAATATCAGATGCATGTTACAACAATATCAGTATCAGATAATTAAATTTTACCTATTTTTATATGCTTCCTGTGGCTCCAAAGTAACTATTGGAAATTTGTATAGACTGGGGCTTTTACCTGGTGTTTGGATATATTTAAATATATGGGAATAATTACTTCAATAATATTTTCTTTCTGTAAACATAATATCAAATGTTCATATTGATATAAATATATGGTTAAAAATTCCAGTGGGAAAATAGAAACCTTGTAAAAGTGAATATTTTCTCAGGTTTTATACAAGTTACCATCACAACTAAGCCCAACATTTCTGCTGCTAAGCAAGACGGTTGTTAAATAAGGTTTGCCCCATTTAATGATCTTTTTTTTTGCTACAGTTGTTAAGTGAATTAATGCAGTTGTTAACTGAATCATGCAATCATAAAGCGAATCTGATTTCCTCTGTTGACTTTGCTTGTTGGAAGCTGGCTGGAAAGGTACAAATAGTGATCACATGATCACAACTTTCATAAATACATGCCAGTTGCCAAGCAACCAAATTTTGTTCACGTGACCCCTGGGGTGCTGCAATAGTGATAGGTGCTGTTGACTTAACTGATTTTCAACCTTATTACTTGAATTACATTTTAATTTTTCTTTTTTTCTGGAATTCAAATGATCCAATTCAAAAGCCATTATTGATTATGCCAGCTGGAAAATTTCAAGTAATATTGCCCTATTTAGGGCAGTTATAGTGGACTACCAGGGTTAATAATTTACATCAGCTTATTTCTAATTATGTTTTAGCCATTCCTGTTGATGTAAGAAATATTGAAATTGTATAAAATTATAGCACATAATCACGTTTTGAGTTTAATCCAGATGCAATATTCACATCTGAATTATTACCAAACTTGAAAAGTGCATTGGATGATTTTAAATCCACAACTGTTTAATAAGATAAGACATTAATTATTTGCAATAATTTTGAAGTAAAGGTCATTGTTGCATTGTTGTTTACTAGTTTTACTCATATAAAACAGGTAAGTTACTGGAATTGATTGACTAGGTGATATATAAATATATGATAAAAAAGGACAATGGGCTGCTGGAATATTAAATAGTGTCTTATATTCTTAAGAGGATATTGGTTCAATAACATGTTTTTCATATTAGGATGTTTAATAAAGATACGTTAGCTTTATTATGTAAAATCACAGAGGAAATATTTGACGTTTGGCTTGTTTTGATATACATAAATTTGCTCATATAGCTTTGGTAAGATTAAGATTGTTTAAATATAAGTATATTATTTTGAACAGCTTTAGGAACAGTTGACTATCATCTTGGTATTTTTCTTCAAACCATAAGTTTAATTTCTTGATGGCATCAATGTATCCTACCAAAAAGAAGACATTAGAAATGGACTGCATTACCATTAGAGTGCAATGAATGATAGGCATAAAGGAATGATGCATAAAGGAAACCGCAGAGTACCTCCCATCGACCGGTACGCTCCCATAGAGTGGGTCTCCTCAGGGTGCCGTCAGCCAGACAGTGCCGGCTGGCGACCCCAAGGGGGAGGGCCTTCTCTGTGGGAGCTCCCACCCTCTGGAATGAACTGCCCCCAGAGATCAGGGTTATCCCTGATCTCCCTTCCTTTCGCCGCGCCCTCAAGACTTGGTNTGCAGGACTGGCCTAGGGTAATTTTTAGGGGGGTTTTAATTATATTTTAAATTCGACAAATATTTAATATTCTTTTTAATTAATTTTAAATTTGTATTGTTTTGTATGTATTTTAAATAGATTGTCAGCCGCCCTGAGTCCTACGGGAGAAGGGCGGGATATAAATTCAAATATAAATAAATAAATAAATAAATAAACTTAACTTATGAATTTTCATCACAATTAGTTGGTTGTTTTCCATCATTTTGAAATCATTTTTGTTATACTTAATCGACCAGACACGATCTCATTTAAACAATTTCTTCAATGTCTAGCTCCTTCTCAAACATCCCTCTGCAGTAAGTCTTGCAACCTACCTGTTTTGGGATCTACATCGGCTGGTAAGTGGGGAGGAGGATTCCCTGGCGTGAAGTGCTCATTGCTGTATGTAATAAGCGGTGTAAGAGGATGTACATGGTGTGGATGTTGCACAACTGGGACTTTGTTAGACTGTAAGAATAGAAAATAAAAAGTATAGGAAGATGTTGCATTAATAATGTTCCACGTAGACACATTAAAGTAGCTGTTTATAAATATGCACATGTGCGCCGCACAAACCCATACACACACACAATCATACACTCAGATACACAGTCACAGGTGTTTTTAGCATTTATGATTCTTCATGTTCAGAATGAGAGAGTAGCTTCAGTAGTGTTCTTTATTCCTCCTTTCTCCGATGCTTTGGGATTCATAAGTTTCTTTATTAAGAAGTAAACTGAAATAAACTCAATGTTGGTACAAGGTCACTTTTTGGCATGAAATACCTGACCTGTAAAATGAAGGCTCTTTACTCTCTTTTAGGGACTTTTTCACTCACTCTAGAAAGCCACTCTTTAAATGGTCAGAAATGTTTTTTAACTGACCTATCATGTCCTTACCAGGGCTATCACAAGTCATGGACAGTTCAGGACAAGTCATGAATTGGCCAGTATTCCCTCCAGTATACCAATGAAAAAATTAGCTTCTGGTGCCCCCTGCCCCTAATCCCAATGTAACCCCATACACTTGTTTTTGCTGCAAAGTAAGAGTCATTTGTTCAATTTCAAAAGCACAGTGAAATGATGAGGTTCCATGATGACTTGTCTTTAAAGGGAATGTAAAGCCAAGAAGGTGGGGCATGCCAGGGGTTCCAGCCAATGGGAAACCACCACCCGTTCTGAAATTCCAGCATTCATACCGCAAACTGTGCTTGCAATCTTTCCTTTTCCATTGCCATTGAGCTGAAGAAATCAGATATGGTGAGGGAACCTAGCAAATGCCACACATGGGAGAGCCTAGACTTCATTCTACTTGAACTTTCTATAATATCTTTTAAAGATTTTATTGCTATATATTGCTTACCATTTGGAGCAAAACTGCTGTTGTAATACTGAGGTTTTTTTTCCTTTGTTTAAATTAAGACATGATATTTGCACTTTTGAACTTTGAGGTGTGATAAAAAGTCTTGAGAAGCAGTTGTTTACTGATCTCTACCAGGTATAAAAAATATTTTTCACCCTTTGCAAAATAACTCTAACATTGCTGACACACAGATCTTACTCACAATCAGATGTGTGTGCTGCAGAGTTCATTTCAGGGCACATAGCTCTGGTCACACATCAAATCCATGTGTCAGCAATTGTTCTGTGTGTGAACATGAACCAACCCGAGCCAATCATGCAGCTGATCCACCCAAATTAGCATTGGCCCTATAGTATTTAAAAGAAAAAGTAGATTTTGGCTTTTTCCAAAGCAGTTATCACGCTATGGCCCACTTTTCTCTGAATACATTTTAAACTTTATCCTCAAGATACATCCATGTTCAGCTCCATGTCTTTCTTAAATTAAAGTTTATTACTAACCCACCATCTATTTCTTTTAATTTTATAACTACGTCCTAAGAAAGAAATAATAATAATTTGGAGTGTTAGTTCCTTAAACAAAAAACACAGCAAGCAAGCAAAGACTATCGGATTGGCTCAAAGATGATAAAGCCTATACATGCTTATGTGCAGGACAACTGTCAGTGAACTGAATGGGACATTGAATTCCAGGAGAACTTCTTCTAAACAGACATATGGCCAGAGTCCCAATTTTCAAATAATAGAAGATATTAATATGTATTTTCTTATTGGCAGCGAATACAATTTAGAGGAGGGAGGTAGAAAGAAGGATATGCTTAAAACCATATCACCACTCTCAGAAATAAAATATCAAATACCAAATTTTGTATTATAGTTGAACTATTATTTCTCTACAGGAAACATAGAAAGAGAAGAAAGAAAATGGGGAGAGGAGAATCTGTTTTTGTTTTTAACACACAGTGAAATGCGCATGCACACACACACACACAAACACCATACAAATGAAACAAGCAGACTGCTGAGCCATTTTTTCCCCTGCAAATAATCCAATTGCAATTCACACAGATTCATACACACTCACAAGAGAGAAGGAGAAGGGGAAAAAACCACTATTCCCTATAGAGGATTTACACTAAAATCCTACAAGAGGGACATTTAACCAGATTAGGTAGCAGCAAAGATAAAGAGTCTAGTTATTAGATGAAGAATGGATTAGCGTCAACTTTCATTTTCAAATGTGTCTTCATTTCCTTTTATTACTTTCAGTAAGGAACAATTTGCATTAACATCAAGTAAAAGGAATTACATTAAAAGAATAGGGACAGTGAGCAGTGTCTACAAGCGCCACCTTAGTCCAGCAGCTGTCATAGTGTTTACCATTATCCTCAATCTAGATTAGCAATTGTCATTCCAAAAAGAGATGGATGGACACTTTCAAAAGATGCAAGAAAACTAGGAGATTTATTCTTTTTAAAATTACATGAATTTCCTTTGAAATACTTCAGTCTTTCAAAGCATGTTTCATTATGCTATATTAAAATTGCTTTGCAATTTTTCAGTTGGATTGGAAAAAAAAGAAGTAATGCATGCTTGATGAAAATTAAAATTGTACCAAAGCTATATAGCTACTTATATACTTCTTTTTTAAAAAGTAGTTTTTAAAACTGCTGTAAAATTTATTTTTGAGTACATTGCAGGACTCCATTATGCTACAATAATTAAAAACATAACCAGACAGCATCACTGAATGCTTAGGGACTTAGTAAACATGTTGAGGGTTACACACTGCATGTAATCATGGAATAATCATACTCTATGATAAGGAAGATAAATGGAAATAGAGATAATTGTAATAAAGATAAATTAATTTAATTTGCTAGTTTGAAAAATAGTGAAAACATTAACAGTTGTTGTTGTTGTTGTTGTTTTCATAATCTGAGCTGTGTGGTGGCTCAGTGGTGAAGACACTTACTTTCCATTCAGAAGGTTATCTGTTCACAACAATGTGAAGTCACAGCTGCCAGTTCTTTAGCTGGTGCGGCTTTCATACGCATTGAGAAACTAGGATGTCGTAATGTATTGGTATATGTGTGGATTCAAGCAGTGTGGTCTTTTGCAATTGACAGATGGAAATTCTGTCAATGCACAGATTTTATACATCTGTTCAAGATTTTTTGGAATGCTACCCAGTGTGCAGATAACCACCGAGACCACCATGACTGGTTTATGCCATAATCTTTCAATTTTGATTTTCAGATCTTCATACTTTGTGATGTTCTCCAATTCTTTATCTTCTTTTCTACTATCCCCTGGAATTGCCACATCAATTATTCCTACTTGCTTCTTTTCAATTACAGTTATCTCTGTTATGTGATGAGCCAAGACTGATCAGTCTATATTCAGACTGTTTTAACCTGTTCATTTCAATTATTTTTTCAACTATATTATCGTTATAGAATTTGTTTGCTATTCTCCTCGGCAAGGTGAACTAACATACTTATTCATTCTTAGGAAATCAAACACATTTGGATATTCTCGAATAGTATTCCAGCGATAGGGGCAATATATATTGATGGCTTATATGGATAATCATTGAGGATGATATAAACAGCCAAATAATTTGACAGTTTAAACCTATTAGTTTATTCATAATTCTGTGTCAGATAGATCTCTTAAATTCAGTTTATTTGTTGACATGGTTTGTTCATCTTTTGTACACTCATTCAGTATCCAAGCATAGCATTCCAAAACTGAAATGTAGAGGGCATGAGTTTCTGAATTATCCTCAGATTTGCAATGGATGCTATGAAGGAGATCCCCTACGTTCCTTTGACATTTTGCTATTTTGATTCAATGCTTAATAGAAAATATGACACAGATTTAATGTGAAGGGTTCTCTAGTAGGCCATTCTCATTCCAAACTCTTAAGATATCAATAAGATATCTTTTATATAAAATGTTAAAGATGATATGATGATAGCCATTACAATTTAGAGATTGTCAAACTCCACATAAGTCTGTGTGGCTTATAATTACAAATACTAAAAGGCCTAAAACCCTGGAAAAAAGAACCGCATGCTTCCAGAAGACATATGATATCACAAAATACAACTCTCCCCGCAAATGGGAGTCAAACACCATCATGGTGGGAGTAATATGGATGTCTTTTGTGCAACTTCAATTTTGGACAGATATGCTAAATATATATTTTATGTTGTGGAAAAATGATGGTAGATACTTTTATACTACATCCAGACAGATATAAAACTGAACAGTGATTGTCCACTACAATTTAGTTTTATTAAAAGTTTAATGGCACCAATATGTTAGGCACATTTACTGAAAAAGGTTAGGACAAAGATGACCAGCAATTTAATTAGGAAGGCAGAGGTAATTTTGGATATACTTCTGGTTTGTAATAAAGGAATCTGGTTTTACAAGTAGGATTACAGAACTGCATTAAATACACTTTTTGGGTGGGAAATCTCAAGGAGAGACTATAAACAATGTGGATATTGAGAATTAATATTCAATTTCTTTCGGTCTTTGAAATCAACAGGGCAATTGGCTTATTTCCCCCCCCCTCCCCCTGCCATCCCAAAAGCAATTATGGTACAATCAAATGAGTATAAAAGGTAGCACACAGAAATTAGATAAAAAGTACTAGTATATCATCTTAGCTCATTCCCTTGTCCACACAGATGATTGCTTTCTAGAGTATATTTCTCTATTACTTTGGTTTTGCTTACATTATAATAAAACTAAATAATTATTCTTACAACACTGAAATTTTCTGAAAGTACATCTTTTTAAACGCCATTAATGAATAATAGAACAGGATTTTTCTTACTATAGTTAATAGAACACCAATAAATACCAATAGAGGATGGGTGAAAATGTAAGGAGGATCCTACTTTTGGTAAACTAGGTATTTAACTTCTGGCTTTATGAAGAAGCAAATTTAAATAAAAATAATTTGGAAAAGTTAGGCTTTTTCCCCATTTTTTCTTATTGTCTGTCAATCATTGCCTAAAGTAAATCAGATTGCATTACAGACATGAAAACAATACTGTAAAATTACTGGACAAAAATTAAGAATGGTTT